CCCCCCCCCCCCCCCCCGGGGTTACTGGAAAGATTAGATAATGCACACCAAGGACTTCGCACTGGCCTTGTGCCAAGCTCACTTCTGACTTGGTTTTGGGACCTCTGCGGGGCAGCACCCTGTAGTGTGCGTGCGTGCGTGCACAGACATGATGAGTCCCAAGCCTACAAGTAGCTTCTGTCCTGCCTCAGATACAGCATCATGCAGGCCTGCTGGGCCCTGGAGCCGACCCGCAGACCCACCTTCCAGCAAATCTGCTCCCTCCTTCAGGAGCAGGTTCTAGTGGATGGGAGAGAGCAGGTGAGTGGTGCCAGGCTCAGGGTGGGTGGCTGGTTAAAGCTGGGCCTGACTGATCAGTTCTGACCACCCCCTGCCACCCCCGCACCCAGGACTACAGCAACCTGCCAGGCGGCAGCAGCGAGCCGGAGGAGAGCTCGAGCGAGCACCTGGGCTGCTGTGAGCAGGGGGACCTCGCCCAGCCCCTGCTGCAACCCAACAACTACCAGTTCTGCTGAGGAGGTGACCACGGGGATGTACTCTCTCTCCCCTCCTCCAAGGATGGGGCACCGTGGGGAGAACACAGACTGTGCCCTTGGCCATTTGCCTCAACAGCCCAGCTCTGAAACTCGGGAATGTGGGATCTACAGGAGGTTGGAGAGAACCCCACTCCCAGGGCCTGGGCCATCACTGCCAGTCAGGGGCTGGGGCTCAGCCCCGCCCCGCCCCCGCCAGTTCTCAATGCTGTGGCCTCATGTGTGCTATGCCAACTGGGAGAATACCCAGCTCACTCTTAGCCTGGTCCCACTTCCTCCCCTCCTTCCCTCCTGTTTCAAGGGAAATGGACTGGTTTTCTGACTGAAGTCCCCAGGAGCTGCCCAAACCTTGAGGAGAAAACAAGGCTCCCTGGCCCTTGGCCGAATGGAAGAACACCTGCTGAGTGGATCAAGGAGAGCAGGCTGGTGCTCAGGGCTGCACTTGGTTCAGGCCCTTGGAGCAGGGTGACTCCTCTGGAAGAATCTAATTGTCCCCCTCTGCCCTCTAAGCCTTCTCTCCACGGCCCTACCCACCCTAGGTCTGGTATTGCTGCAATGAGCCAGGTGGCAGCTAAAGGTTGGGGTGCTCTGTCCGGCCCCGCCCCGCCATTCTGTGCTGGAAGGCGCTGGAAGGCAGGGGCCCTGTGTGGCTGGCCACACCACGCAAGCAGCACACACTTCCAGGTTGACTCATCATAACTAACAGTCACGCTGTGGGATGTCTCTGTCAGTCAGCATTAAACTAACAGCATTAACACAGCTGGCCTCTGGTCTTTGTGCCATGCGGATCCCCGGGGACCTCCTTCCATCCTTCCACGGTGAGTGACCAACCCCAGCACCTCTGGGGCCCAACCACACTGAGCTGCATACAATGAGGCTGGAATTGACTCTCGTTGCACCCAAACCATATAATTTAATAAACTTTATTCTGGTTGGGGAAGAGGGAGGGGGAAAAAAGCCACCTATTCCACTCCTCTCAATAAATTAAATAACACGGCCAATTCCCGTGCCCTAAGCAAACTTTGGGCACTTGAGCCAGTCCTGCTGTTTCCTTACGGCCCAGTCTGCTTACCCTTCACAGAAGGGAGTTTTTCCTACTGCCCCCAGGTTATGGCATGCTCACGGGCCACATCCCCTCTGAGAGAGGGGCCAGGCTGCAGCAGCAGCAGCAGCAGCGACCAGGAAAGGAGGAAGGGGAGCCTCTTCCTCAAAGCTTGGGGCAGGGAGTCTAGGCCTGGAAGAGAGTTGTGGCTCACCCTTTCTCAGCTGCCCCCAGATGTGGGTGCAGGAAGAATAGGAGGGGAATGCATTCCTCCTCTGGGAGAATCAAGAGCCCAAAGGGACCCCTGGAGCTAATGAAGCCCCCAAGGCCCCGAGTCAAAGGCAACAGGCCGCAGGGGCTGGAAACGGTGTCCCTGGGCGGGAAGGGAAACCTCAGCAGCCTCGGCCCACCCAGGACCTCCACCCCGACCCACAGGTGCCCCTGGGAAGCCAGCAGCTACCTGCCTTCTCTCAGCCTCCCTGCCCCTTTACTGAACATATGGTGCCACCCAAAGAGTGTCCTGGTGCCTCTCCCGACCCCCAGAAGGTTGAGAACCAAGGACCCTGGGCTCCACCATGCTCAGGAAATGGAAGCTCTTTGGTCAGTCCCAGCATCAGAGGCTGGTCCCCTGGACGGATCTGCCTCGGGCAAGGGCCTTACTATGGCTTGCGAGAGATGGTGCGGTCCCTGCACAAGAGCCCGGCTTACTCTGCAGCTGTGGCCACCTTCTCTTCCTCAGCATCCTCCTCCGTCTCCGTCTTGATCTGAGCAACCCCGAGGCGGTACAGGGTGTCTCGGATGACCACCTCGCCAGGCTGGCAGCTCTGCACAATGTCATGGATCTGCCGGTTGACAATCTCGCGACTGGTAAGGAAGTCCATGAGGCGGTTGTAGAGGTAATAGTGGGTGGCATTGTCAAAGGCAATGGGCCGCTGGCGGACGCTGTTTGGTTTGCTGTCTGCAAAGGAGGACAGGATGGCTGCGTAGGGCGCCAACTCAGGACACAGGGCCAAGGAGTGGTGCCCAGCACTGGGGTCGCCAGGACTGGGCTGTGTGCCTGCATGGACGATGCGCCGTGTGGCAGTCTTGGTGACCGGGTGCTGGACAGAGTGCTCAGCCTCCGTCATGTCCACCGTATAATGCTGGTCCAAGAGTTCTGGGCAGGACACGCTCTACAAGGGAGATGATAAGCCACTGTGACGTGAGGGAAGATTAAGGTCCAAGCTGTGTGATAGGTGAGAGTGAAAGCTGTGGGTGAGCCAGCTCTGTTTAAATCCTACCGTCACCACGTAACACGTTTCCCAGGGCAAGTCCCCCTTTCCTCCTCCCCTGTGCCTCCGTTTCCTCATGTGAGAATGCGGACAGTAACAGTGGCCACCTCCCAGAGCAGATGCTGGATTACCTGAGCTAATATTTATATCTGGCTAACCAATTCAGACTGGGGCTGCAGGGGAACAGGAAGGAAGTGGTTCCCATGGAGGCTCAGATGCCTCACACCAACCTTACAAACCCAGTGAGCCCCATGGACTAAGGCAAAGGCAAGTGAGGACAATGATGGCCCCTTCCTATTACCAGTCCTAACGTCTCTTCTAGCCAAGGGCATGTGCCCGTGCTAAGAACCACAGCCTGATACCGTGCACCAAGACAAAGAGACCAGGGGCTCTGCCATTAATCTGCTGTGTGACACTCGGCAGGCCCATTTTCACCTCGAGCCCTTACTTTCCCCTTTTAATTAGCGGAAAGGGGTTGATACAGTCAGCGTTTTCTAAGCCACTGTGCCTCTAGATCACAACACAAGGAGTGCCATGCAGCATATTCAGTCAAAGCCAAAACAGGGCTGGTCTGTGCCTTTACTATATCGGCATGTGCAGTGTCCTCAAAGGTGGCAATTTTCTAAGCTTAACTGCAAGGTGACCCCTTTGACCCCAAGATACCTGGGGTCACCCTGGGCACCCTAAAGGACATGCTGTGGCCACACACACACGCACACGCACACACGCACGCGCG